CCTGTATGATGAAGAGCAGTAATCAGGGAATTATGAAACAACAGCTTACATTTCATGTTAGTTATTTTCCATCTATCCACCGACTTTTGCAACAAGTGCTTACAGTCCCATTCTAAGTGCACAGTCAAAGATCAGTACGTAAGAACTTAAGAAATGCTAGATGAAAGACCAAGGTCCATCCAGTTCGCCTTCCACCATCCTGCCAGTCGCGTGCACATGTCATGTCCCAAACTGTGCACTGTGTCCCACGATATTACTTCCTAAAAGAGATCTATCCAAGTTGCTCTTGGGACGTCAGCGCCTTGGGACGTCCTCCCGACGTGAAAGGCGCTCAATAAATGGAATCTTGTTGTTGTTGTTTTGAAAGAATCAACATTTTCTGATTCCATCAATGATTCCCTGGGGAGCCTGTTCCATACATTTACTGCTCGCTCACGGAAATAGTCTTTCTGCAGATTTGTTTTGAAATCCCCCTTCAATTGCAGGCTACGTCCTCTGGTTCCACTATTCTGGACAAGATAAAACAGCTTCACATGGTCATATTATCCAGTCCCTTTAGAATCGTAAAAAACATCAATGTATGTACTGACAAGTGAAGAATTCCCTTGGAGTTACCTGGCACACATTGTAGAATTTAGTGTTACTGTAGCTTAGTGCTATGATTACTGACAAGCAGCCAAAATAGCCATTCAGAAGTTCACATAAAATTAATTAACAAGCCTTTTTTTTGTCATGTAATCTCTGTTTTATTGTATAATTTCTCTAATTTTTTAATGATGATAAATAAATCACTCTCTGCTGCTTTGATTTAACCGTGAAATAATGAACATGGCATTAAAGAAATGCACCATATTACTGTATTTCTCATAATTTTATCCAAATAAATTAAATGTCAGTTTGTTTGCTCCTTTGTTGAATAAAATGTAGTCCTAGTACTACCGTATTCATTGTTTTCAAATAAAAACTGTGTGAAAAGCATAAATATTCAAACTATTTACTTAATAATAATAATCCTTGCATTTGATATAGCACTTTATCACGTCTTCGAGATGTCTCAAAGTGTTTCACGGAATATACTGTAAAGTGAATTGACTATGTATTTGTGGGGAAAGCTCGGCAGCCAATTGCACACAGCAGCGTCCCACAAACAATTGAGGTTTGTGGAAACGTGCCCCATTGCTCCAACAGAGAACTGCACGATACCAAACACTATTTATTAAAGTAGAAATGATTATGGGGGATAATGGAAACTGCTAGTTTCAATTATGAAAATAAACTGGCGATTGAGACAGTTTTGATCTCTGAGTTGACTTAGTTACTTTGTGCAGAATAGATAATATTATGTAAATAGACAGGGGATTTTAACAAGATCTCCTGGAAGAAACATGCAGTCAGCATTCTTCAATAATGTGTCAGCCTGGCTTAGTCGGTAGCACTCTTGCCTCTGAGTCAGAAGGCTGTGGTGTCAAATCGCATTGGGATACTGAACACGTATGGGCTCACACTTCAATGCAGTGCGCGGGGGGGGGGGGGGTGTATTGCATTGTCACAGGTTCCGTCCTTCAGATCAGACGTTAAACTAAGATCATGTCACGTGGATGTTATAGATGCTACAGCATTAACTGAAAAGAGAAGGGAGATTTTTCTCCCATTTCACCTTTAAGGCCATCCATGGCTTTGCCCCCTCCTACCTCTCTGACCTGCTGACTCCCTACCAACCTGCCCGCTCCCTCCGTTCACTGGGCTCCGGCTGCTCCATGTCTCCCGCCCGACCGCCCTACCATCGGTGGCCGAGCTTTCAGCCTCTCTGCCCCCACACTCTGGAACTCCATCCCACGATCCCTTCGCCTCACTTCCTCCCTTTCCTCCTCCAAGGCCGGTCTCAAGACCCTTCTCTTCGACCGTGCCTTTGGTCTCCCTCCCACCTCTCTGCCTTCCCTCACCCCTACCCCACGCTCGGGCCCCGATACCTGACTGTTCAGCGCTTTGGGACATCCTCCCGATGTGAAAGGCGCTCTATAAATGTAATTTTGTTGTTGTTGCAGTGTGGAATCCCCCAAATAAAATTGGTCATTCACTTCATGAATGCTTGTGGGACATTAGCTATGCACATAGGCTGCTGTGCTTGCCTGCAAATAAACGATATAGTAAAGTCCTGTGAAGTGCTTTGCAATATTCTCCCGATTTAAAAATACAAGGATTTTGTTTAAAAAGTGAGAGTCCTGCCATCACGAGTGCTTTTAGGGACAGCCCTGATGGTGCAGTGAAAATAGCTGCCACTTAAGTATCAGGAACCTGCTGCTTTGTATCCCGGTCCATGTTGAGTTTGCTCGTCTCAGCGAGTTTGAATGGGGAGGCTAAATGGCCCTGGTCTTTCCCTCGTTTGGGAGGGAAAAATCAGCCAGGTTTCCTGTTGCTGGTCCCTCTACATTAGCGTGTGCGCGTGTGGTTGTTGTGGGGAGGGCCGCTGAGTGGTCCGCTGACACTAAAATAGCAACAATAATGCTTGCAGTTGATGTAGTGACTTATCACATCATTGAAACGTCTCAAAGCGCTTCACAGAATATACCGTGAATTGCATTGACCGTGCATTTTGTGGGCGAAACGCGGCCAGCTGACACCAATAAGGTACACGCGTGATTCATTGGGCAGGAGGACACATTGTGAAAGGATCTGGTGAACTGAAGTGAATCCTTAGTTTGGTTGGGTTGCAATGGAAGTGAAGCGCAAGGGGAGAGGCTGGAGCTGTGGCAATCTGACAGGAGCAGCTGACCATGACTGGTGCCGTCTGGGAGTGGAGTCTATCCAGGGCGAGATCAGATTGCCCTTATAGAGAAGATCCTCCCCCGCCAGTCACAAGGCTATTTATTTACTTACGGTTGCTGCAAGCTTGTGTTGACAACTGCATACCCTTTGCTCCAATTTCACGAGCAGCATTACCCTCCGCAGAACAACAACAATAACAACTTGTATTCATATAGCGCCCTTTACGCAGGGTATCGTCTCGGAGCACTTGAGCTTGATAATCTTGAGAAGAGCTGATTTCTTGAAAGAAACACAAATCACCTTTTACGTATATAAAAGAGCACTATAAGTAATAACTGTTGATGGGAATTTTTCATTCTCTTCAGTGACAAGTCTTTATAGAGCGCCCTTTATGTGGAATATCGCCTCGGAGCACTTGCCATTCGCGCCGAGGGTGACAAGCTCGAGAGGGGCTGATTTTTGTTTAAAAAATCACACTTTTTTCAAAGAGCACCAAAAACCATAACTGTTCATGGGAATTTCTCATCCTCTTCAGTGACGAGTCTCACTGCGTGCCAGCTCCGCGATGGTGAACCATTACTGCCGTCGCTCCTTGCACTCTCTCTCTCTGCGTAGGTTAACCGGGGGATTTGAGGAATTGTATAATAATAAGACTTGGCTTTGGTATACAACCCACGACTGTGCGCACCTGACTGACGCGTTTCGCCCACAAAATACACAGTCGATCCACTTTGCAGCGTTTGCAGCTTGTGGAGCGCTTCGAGACGTCGCATCGAAAGAGATCCGCCAATCGACAAGGAAACAGAGGCGTTTGGAAATAAGGAAACTTGCCCGAGGCTTCGCCCTGCCCGGGAAAATCTAACCCAGGTCCGAGCGCGCCAACCCCACCGCGGGACTCCACAATTCTCAAATGAATAGATAATAACAACGACTACTACTCTCGGCTGGACGAGTCTAATGCCCTCCTCGCCGGCCTCTCCTCCTCCACCGGTCGCACCATCCCTCTCATTCACTCAAACCCCCGCCGCCCGCATTCCCACCCGCACCAAACCCCGGACCCCGATCGCTCCAGTCCTGGCCAAACCCCACCGGCTTCTTGTCTCGGATCCGGCGCATCCACTTCCACACCCTCGCGCTAGTGTTCAAATCCCTTCATTCCTTGGCCACCCCCCAACCCCACCATCTCTCTAACCTCCCCCACCCCCTCACCATCTCTCTAACCTCCCCCCCCTCACCATCTCTCTAACCTCCCCCACCCCCACCATCTCTCTAACCTCCCCCCACCCCTCACCATCTCTCTAACCTCCCCCACCCCTCACCATCTCTCTAACCTCCCCCCTCCCCACCATCTCTCTAACCCCCCCACCCCCCTCACCATCTCTCTAACCTCTCCACCCCTCTCACCATCTCTCTAACCTCGCCCCCCCACCATCTCTCTAACCTGCCCCCCACCCTCACCATCTCTCTAACCTCCCCCCCACCCCCCCTCACCATCTCTCTAACCTCCCCCACCCCACCATCTCTCTAACCTCCCCCACCCCCACCATCTCTCTAACCTCCACCCCCTCTCACCATCTTAACCTCCCCCCCCCCTCACCATCTCTCTAACCTCCCCCCTCCCCACCATCTCTCTAACTCCCCCCCACCCCCCTCACCATCTCTCTAACCTCCCCCACCCCACCATCTCTCTAACCTCCCCCCACACCATCTCTCTAACCTCCCCCACCCCTCACCATCTCTCTAACCTCCCCCACCCCTCACCATCTCTCTAACCTCCCCCCACCCCACCATCTCTCTAACCTGCCCACCCCTCACCATCTAACCCCCTCTCTCTCCCCCTCCCCCCCCCTCTCTCTCCTCCCCCCTCTCTCTCTCTCTCTCCCCCTCTCCCCCCCTCTCTCTCCTCTCCCCCCTCTTTCTCTCCTCCCTCCCCCCCCCCCTCTCTCTCCCTCCCCCCCCCCTTCTCTCCCTCCCCCCCACCTCTCCCCCGTCTCCCCTCCCCTCTCTCTCCCCTTCTCCCTCCCCCTCTCTCTCCCTCTCTCCCCCCTCCCCCTCTCCTCCCTCTCCTCTCCTCCCCCTTCTCTCCTCTCCCCCCTCTCTTTCTCTCCTCCCTCCCCCCCCCTCTCTCCCTCCCCCCCCCCTCCTCTCCCTCCCCCCCTCTCTCCCCTCTTCTCTCCCTTTCTCTCCCCCCCCCCTCTCTCTCTCCCTCTCCCCCCCTCTCTCCCCCTGGACACTGGTGTTGATCTGCTGTAGATCTGAGGTGGGAAGATGCCTTCTGAGTGCTTCTGTCTGGCAGCTCAGCCTCGTTTCGACTCGAAGT